GACAAGGGAGTCCCAGAGAGAGTGGTCCCTCCGGAAAGCAGATAAGGGTGGGGAAGGAAAAATGTCTTTGGTGGTGGGGTCGGATTGCAGATGGCGGAAGTGTCAGAGGATGATGCGTTGGATCCAGAGGTTGGTGGGGTGGTAAATGAGGACGAGGGGAATTCTGTTTTGGTTGTTATTCGGGGAGGGAATGTGAGGGACGAGTTGCGGGAAATGCGGGATACACGGTCGAGGGTGTTCTCGACCACTGATGGGGGGGGATGTTGCGGTCCTCGAAAAACGAGGACATCTGAGATGTTCGGGAGTGGAATGCCTCATCAGAGATGGTCCAGGTGAACTTAAGGTTGGGGTGGAAGGTGTTGGTGAAGTGGATGAATTGTTTGGGACCTCCCTACCTACGTCCGTGACACCACCCACCCCCTCCACCTCCTCCAGAACTTCCAATTCCCTGGTCCCCAACACTTCATCTTTACCATGGACGTCCAGACACTATACACCTGCATTCCCCATGCAGATGGCCTAAAGGCCCTCCTCTTTTTCCTGTCTCTCAGGCCCGACCAGTCCCCCTCCACTGACACCCTCATCCGCTTAGCCGAACTCGTCCTCACCCTCAACAACTTCTGTTTCAATTCCTCCCACTTCCTACAGACAAAGGGGGTGGCCATGGGTACCCGCATGGGCCCAAGGTATGCCTGCCTCTTTGTTGGTTACGTGGAACAGTCCCTCTTCTGTAGCTACACTGGCCCTAAACCCCATCTCTTCCTCCGTGACTGTATTGGCGCCGCCTCCTGCTCCCACGAGGAGCTCAAACAGTTCATCCACTTCACCAACACCTTCCACCCAACCTTAAGTTCACCTGGACCATCTCTGATACCTCTCTCTCCTTCCGGGACCTCTCTGTTCCCATTTCTGGCAACCACCTGGAAACCGATATCCATTTCAAGCCCACCGACTCCCACAGCTACCTAGAATACACCCACCCACCCACCTTCCTGCAAAAATGCCATCCCCTATTCCCAATTCCTTTGCTTCCGCCGCATCTGCTCCCAGGATGAGGCATTCCACTGCCGAACATCTCGAATGTCCTCATTTTTCAAGGACCGCAACCCGCGCCCCGCCCCCACCGTATCCACTGTTCCCGTTGCAGCCTCCTCTTCATCAGGGAAACCAAGCAGAGGCTTGGTGACCGCTTTGTGGAACACCTACGCTCGGTTCGCAATAAACAACTGCACCTCCCAGTCGCGAACCATTTCAAATCCCCCTCCCATTCCTCAGACGACATGTCCATCCTGGGCCTCCTGCAGTGCCACAATGATGCCACCCGAAGGTTGCAGGAACAGCACCTCATATTTTGCTTGGGTACCCTGCAGCCCAATGGTATCAATGTGGACTTCACAAGCTTCAAAATCTCCCCTCCCCCTACTGCATCCCAAAACCAGCCCAGCTTGTCCCCGCCTCCCTAACTTGTCCTTCCTCCCACCTAGCCCCACCCACATCTCCTCCCTTCTAGCCTCATCCGGCCCCCTTGACCTGTCCGTCCTCCCTGGACTGACCTATCCCCTCCCTTACTCCCCACCTACACTCACCTTTACTGGCTCCATCCTTGCCTCTTTGACCTGTCTGTCTCTTCTCCTCTATCCATCTTCTATCCGCCTCCCCCTCTCTCCCTATTTATTTCAGAACCCCCTTACCCTGCCCCATTTCTGAAGAGGGGTCTAGTCCCAAAACGTCAGCTTTTCTGCTCCTCTGATGCTGCTTGACCTGCTGTGTTCATCCAGCTCGACACCTTGTTATCTCAGGTAAATTGTAAGATGGGTAGTAGAACAGTGTATGTGTATCTGAAGAACAGAGAACAAAGTGTAGTTGTGTATTGGAAAGGTATCATTAGAACCTGGTGCGTGGGGTCATGCAGATCAGCATTATAGTTGTAGTAGTTCATACCTTATACTAAATGATGTACAGACATTTCTGCATCTGTGTATTATTTTATCTGTAAACAAATCTGTAGTAGTTTAGCCTGGAGACACTGGGATCGGCTTGTGTTCTCCATTGACAAGATTCCTGTTGTCAGGTTAATATGTATAACTGGGTTATTTTAATCTGATAGTCCAGTTAAATGGTTTGTACTAATCCAACAGGTTATAGCAATCCACCAACACAATTGGTAAAACTAGGTTACAATAATCCACCAGTAAGGTTAGTCATTACAACTGGGATCTACTAATCTGACAGTCAGGTTCATTTGTACAATTGGGTTATACTAATCCAAAGAGGTTATTTTGTAAAACTGTTATACTAATCTGACAGTCGGGCTTATTGCTAAAACTGGGTTTCGCTAATCTGACAAGTCAGTTTGTTCAACTGACTCGTACTAATTTGACAGTCAGGTTAATTGATAGCTGAGTTATGACGTTAATTGGTAAAACATTCAGGTTCTCTGATTAAAAATGGGTTAAACTAATCTAACATTCAGGATAAATTGTACAATTCTTTAACTTGCTAATTCTTTAACAGATGAGGCCATCGCTGGCCTGGCAGCATTTACTGCCCATCCCTAATTGCCCAGAGGGCAATCAAGAGTCAGCCACATTGCTGCAGTTCTAGAGTCACTTTTAGGCCAGACCAGGATGGCAGTTTCCTTCCCTAAGGGGCATTAGTGAACCAGATTGACTTTTCCTGACAATCAGCATTAGATTCTTAATTCCATCTACTGTGGCAGGATTTTAACCCGGGTCCCTAGAAATTATCTGGGTCCCTGGATTAACAGTCCAGTAATAATACCACTAGGCCATTGGCTCCCCATAACTGGTCTATACTAATCCAACAGTCAAGCTAATTGATAGAGTTGGATTACACTCATTTTACGGGTTAATTGGTAAGGATGGGTTTAACAGCTCTGACAGTATGGTTTATTTGTACAACTCGTTTGTGAACCTGAAAATGGCAGGTGGTTACAGCCTGTGTCAGTTGCAGTTCACAGGCTGTTTGAGTAAAGGTGAGAGAGAGAGAGGCTCTAACATTAAGAATGGGGCATAGGTCATGGTGGGTGGAGAGGGAGAGGGCGAGAGAAGGCAATGTCTTCCATCTGCAAACATTGTTGGACAAGCAGCAAATAGTCCTTTTCAGATGGGGTGCTGTCAAATGATGCGCCTTTGACCAAACCGATAGGTTACCTTTCCGTGCAGAACCTAGGTATGGTTTTAGGAGGTGCAGACTTGCTTAACACTTTTGACCTCAATCTGATATCCAGAATAGAATCAGAGGCCTTAATGGAGTTGTCTGCAGCTGCTGACGTAAGGGGAACATCAACCACCTAATGGGACTCTACTGTGGATTTTCTTGTGTTTACTTCCTTAGCCATGAGCTGCTCTTGTTATTGTTAATGCTTGAGCTTTGAGATTGGCAGTAACAGCCAATGGCAAACACTAAAGTTGTCAAGAGTACTGGATTCAGCAGGGTGACGTTTGAACAGAAAGTACTCTTGTTTGTGATTAAATAGTGGTGACGACGTATCACGTTTTACGCTGATGGAGACGACAGATGTTAATGCTTCACTGCCTCTGATTGCTCTCACTTCCTTCAATATCCATTTATGAAGGAGGAGAAATTTCCTGTGAGTGAAAATGAGGATGAACAAAGCCATTGATTTTGCACCCACCAACAAACTGAGTCACTAACTCTTTCCCTCTCCTTGCAAAGTGAGGCTGATTGAGACACTTCGCTGTGTTGTTGTTGTTGTACTTGATCTTGATCACATTCATGCCAGCAATAAGACCACCCATTTTAACCCATCTACCATCACTTGACTCATCTGCTTCAGCTTATTTGCTGCAGAAACCCTCAACCGTTTGCAATTATCAAGTCTACAGGCGAGACTCCCAAAGTCCACATTCCATAAGTTGGAGCTCATGGTCTGCTGGCCAACTCACATCAGATCCCATTTCCTGATCACCCCTGTGCTTGCTGATCTCCATTTGCTCCTGGTGAAACGATGTCTTGATTTTAAAATGTTCATCTTTGTTTTCAAATCCCTTTTGTGGTCTCTTGAGTTCCTAATATGAGATGTCTGCACTATACCAATTCTGGTATCTTGTGCTGCCCTGATTTTAATCATTCCACTACTGGTGGCTATGCCTCTAGTGCCAAGGACCTAATGTCTTGTACTCCCTCCCTACACCTTGCTACTTTTCTACTTCCCTTTTAACATGCTCATTGAAGCCTAGGTCTTTAATTATTTAACATATTTTGTCATCTGCCTTAATATCTCCTTTGTGTTTCTAGGTCAAACTTTGTGTGATAGCTTCTACTATGTTTAAGGTATTATATAAATGCAAGCTGTTGTTGAAGTAAACTTGCGTGGGAAGGTGGGAATTAGAAGGTTTAGGCCATTTGGCCCATCAAGTCTGCTGCTCGATTCATTAAGATCATGCCTGGTCTGGTTTGAGTTCTCAACTCCGCTTTTCTTGCTGCACCCATAACTCTAGATTCCCTTGTCTGTTAGGAGTCTATCTAATCTATGTTCGATAACTCTTCCATGAACACAATACATAACCCAGCCTTCACTACTTTGAGGAAGAGAATTCCTCAGACTAATGACCGTCAGAGAGAACCACCTCATTTGTAGGAGAGACGCCTCCTCCTTAAGCTGTGTTCCCTAGTTTTAGTCTTACCCACAATAAGAAAGATCAACCTAGGAGTTACTAAGGTTTTGGAGTAGACCAACCTCAGCTAGAAGTTACTGTTTGAAAATAATGGGTTGCCCATTTAAGACTGATACAAGGAGAAATTGTTTCTTTCAGAGTTGAGTCTTTGGAGCTCTGTTTCTCAAAAGGTGCTAGAAGCAGACACTTTGAAGCAGGGCAGATATATTCTTCTTAAGCAAGAGGTTGAAAGATTCTCAGGGATTGGCAGGATTTGTGGGGCAATTGGCTCAGTTCCAGAACAGGTTTGAGGGGCCGAGTGGCCTACTCCTGCTTCAATAAGATCACTTCTCTTAAACTCTAATGGGTACAGGGTCAACCTTGCTTCATAAAATAAGCCCTTCATTCCAGGAATGAATTGAGTCAACCTTTTGAAACTACTTTAAAGCAATTATATGTTTTTTTTTCCCAAGTAGGGAGACCAGCATTCTATACAGACTACAGATGTGGCCTTCAATTGTGAGTTTAGTGAGTAAGCACTCTTGTATGATGAGTCAGAAGCTTATGGGGCCATGTCCCACTTTGGAGAACTGAGCCTATAATCTGAGAAATGCTGTCTTCCAGGGAAATTGAATCCTTGGTTATGGATGGGAAAGATTCTGCAGTATTCTGTTGAACTCGGAAAAGGAGTCCTGGCCAGTGCTCATCTACAAACAGTATCGTTTATTACACATTTGGATCTCTCAGCACAACAGGTGACCTTTGACCCATCACATCTGTGCCAGCTCTTTGAAAGTGTGATCCGGTTTAGAGCTACACTAACATTTTGTCTCCGTAACCCGAGTTGAGAGAGTGTCTGCTCATTCTCACATTGTTGTAAATGCCTGCTGAGTTTCCTACAATTGTGATACGCTTTGAAAGTACTTTACGAACGAGTACTTTGGCACGTCCTGCAAATCCAGCTGCAGATCTGCAGCTGGGGAGAAAATGTAAAAGAAGCATTGAGGTGAGTCAACCAGACTAAGAACCTCGGGGAGCTGGAGCTGGAACTGGAACTGAAATTGGGCAGATTAGAGGGGAGTGTGGACTCTATCAGAAAGGGAAAACTATCCGATGTGGCTGGGCTAGCTTTGGTTACACATGAGATTTTAGGCTCAGACTTTACATTCCCAAGGTGGGAAGTGGCCACCGTGACCCATCAGTGTGTACGGTTACACCCATGATGTCCCACCAGCGTAACATGAAACTTCAAATCCTTTGTAAGAGCCAGGAAAACACAGTAATTATAATCAGCTTGTAAATTTCCTTGGTAGGGACATGCCTGGTTTCAGTGAAAAGATTGTCAAGACAAATCAATGTTGCACTGTGCCTGTATAGGGACCAGGGTCTTGAGACCAGTCACCAGAAGCAGCAATTTGTGAAGCTAATCTGAGGAATTGTTACAGTTTGGCTAAGACCATAAAGACATAGGAGCAGAAGTAGGCCATTCAGCCCACTTGAGTCTGCTCCACCAGTTGATGAGGTCATGGCTGATCTGGTAATGTCAACTCTTGTTCCTATTTTCATTTTCCCATTACCCTGGATTCTCTTACGGACTTAAAAATCTTCTATCTCAGCCTTGGTTATATTTAAGGATACAGTCTCAACAACCCTTTGTATTAAAGAATTCTACAGATTCATTACTGTATAAGAGAAGTAACTCCTCTGTTCTGCCTTAAATGTGTAACCCTCTATTCCGGGATTCTGCTCTCTGGTCCTAGGCTCTCCCATAAAAGGAAACCGCCTCTTCATGTCTACCCAGTTAAGTTTCCTAAGAATCTTGTATGTTGTATAAGGTCACCTCTCATTTTGTTTCCCTCTATATTCCACCAAAAAAGGCCTTCCTACACAACCTCTCTCCATAAGACAGTCACTCCATACCTGGGATCAGCTGAGGGAGCCATCTCTGGACTGCTTCCAATTCTAGTATGTCTTACCTTAGATAAAAGGCCTAGGGTGTACAGTGGCTCAGTGGTTAGCACTTATGTCTCACAGCACTAGGGACCTGGGTTCAATTCCAGCCTCGGGTGACTGTGTGGAGTTTGCACATTCTCCCCATGTCTGCATGGATTTATTCCGGGTGCTCCAGTTTCCTCCCATGGTCCAAAAATGTGCAGGTCAGGTGGATTGGCTGTGCTAAATTGCCCGTAATGTCTGGGGTATGGGATGGGTCTTGGTGGGATGCTCCTTGGGGGGCGATGCGGACACGATTAGCCGAATGGCCAGCTTCCACACTGTAGGGATTCTGTGTTCTATGTTAAACTGTTCATGGTATTCCATCTGTGGTCCAACTAATGCCTTTGTATAGTTTTAGCAAAATCTTCCTACTTTTATTCTCCATTCCCTTTCAATTAAAATATTCAATTTGACTTCACTATTACCCACTGAACTTGGATTCTAGCTTTTAGTAATTCATGGGCAAAGACTCTTAAATGCCTCTTCTGGAGTTTTCTGCAGTCTTTCTCCATTTAAATAATCCAGAGCTTCTCCTCTTACTGCCAAATGTTTTCCCACATTATATTCTATCGACCAAGATTTTACCCACTTGCTTAACCTGTCTATGTCCCACTGAAGCTCAGCAGGCCTGACAGCATCTGCGAAGAAGAGAAAAAAAATCAGGGTTAATGTTTTTGGGTCCGCTGACCCTTCCTCAGATTGATGGTAGCTAGGAAAATGACGGTTTATGTGCAGAAAATAGGGAGGGTGATAGGGTAGAGGGTAAATGATAGGATAAAGGATAGAGCCCAAAGAGAGGAGAGCAGTTGGACAGACAAAGGAGTTGACAAAGGATCTGGCTAGGAGGATGATTAGCTGTCAATGGGGACTGTTAGTGACTAACAATGGGTAGTATGTAATGGTAGGCTACGTGATAACAAGGCCGGGTGTGTGGGGTTGGGGGCTAGGACATGGGAGAGTTTAGGCCCTGAAATTATTGAACTCGATATTGAGTCTGGAGGGCTGCAGGGTCCCCAAATGGAAAATGAGGTGGTGTTCCAGCTTGCGCTGAGCTTTGCCAGAACACTGCAGCAAGTCCAAGGCACAGATGTTGGCCAGGGAACAGGGTGTTGAAATGGCAGGCAACTGGAAGCACGGGGTCTTTTTTTTTGAGAGCGGAGCATAGATGTTCTGCCCTTTGACCTGATGAAAATGAGTTAAAAGAGAAGTTGTTGAGAGCGAGCGTGAGCTCAGCCAAGCGAAGGAGGGTGATGGTGGCTGGGGACAGTTTAGGCCTTTGCTCCACGAGGAAGCAGAGAGCCCTAAGACCATCGTGGCGGGGGATGGACATTCATGGTAAAAAGGAGGAGGCTGGAGCCTGCAAACTGGAGATTTTGAAACCAGTGTAAAGTGTCAGAGGAACTACGAATGTACGTGGGCAGGGACTGGACCAGGGGAGAGAAAACTGTGTCAAGGTAGGAAGAGATGAGTTCAATGGGGCAGGAGAAGGAGAAGGCTGAAACAATGGGTCTGCCTGGACAGTCTTGTTTGAGGAGTTTCGGAAGGAGGTAGAAGTGAGCTGTGCAGGGCTGGGGGTCTATCAGCTTGGAGGCAATTGGGAAGGGGAAGGTGAGCTTCTGCAGTTTCGAGGTCGCCAGACTACAACAGCACCACCCTTATTGGCAGGCTTAATAACAAAGTCAGTGTTAGATCTGAGAGCATGGAGTGCAGTCAGGTTGGATTTGGTGAGGCAGGGAGTGGGGGCAGAGAAATTTAGGTGACCAATATCACATCGGCAGTTCTCAATGAACAGATCGAGTGCAGGTAGAAGGCCCGAGGGAGGACTCCAGGTGGACGGAGAGTGTTGGAACTGGGCGACGAGGTCTGTGAGACGGAGAGAAGACTCTTGTTCAAAGAAATGGACACTGAGGTGAAGACAGCTGAAGAAATTCGTTAAGGTGGGGATGCAGAGGAATAAAGCTGAGACCTTTGAGTATAGAACGTTGAGCATTGGAAAGTGGAAGGTTAGGAGAGATGGTGAATACCTGAGGGGAGGTGGCATTGGGCTCACAGTGTAGACCCTCTACATTGGGGAAATGAAATGTAGACTGGGTGACCGCCTTAAAGAACATCGTTCTGCTCGCAAAAAATGACCCTGAGCTTCCAGTTGCCTGCCACTTTAATGCACCACCCTGTTCCCGGGCCAACATCTGTGTCTTGGACTTGCTGCAGTGTTGTGGCGAAGCTGCAACAACACCACCTCATTTTTCACTTGGGGACCCTGCAGCCCTCTGGACTCAATATCACATTCAATGAGTTTAGGCCCTAAAATTTCCCATGTCCTTGCCCCCTACCCCACACACCAAGCCTTGTTATCACGTAGTCTGCCATTACACTCCACCTGTTGTTAGTCACTAAGAGTCTCCATTAACAGCTATTCGCCCTCCTAGCCGGATTGTTACCAACTCCTTTGTCTGTCCAACCTCTCTTCTATCTCTTTGGGCTCTATTCTTTTATCCTATCACTTACTCCCTACCCCATCACCCTCCCTATTTTCTGCATATAAACCAACATTTTCCAGGCTACCATCAGTTCTGAGGAAGGGTCAGTGGACCCAAAAACGTTAACCCTGATTTTTATTTTCTTCACAGATGCTGTCAGACCCGCTGAGCTTTTCCAGCAACTTCTGTTTTTGTTCCTGATTTGCAGCATCGGCAGTTCTTAGGTGAATATCCCACTGCAGACCCTGTGACCATCACCACTTGACTTCCCATTTATGTATGTCATCCACAAACTTGGGAGTAGTACATTCACTTTCCTCATACAAAGAACGATACAGTGCAGGAACAGGCCCTTTGGCCCTCCAAGCCTGTATTCCCACACTTTTTTTCTCCTTTCATTCTAAAACTGTCTTCACTTACAGGATCCATATCCCTCAATTCCCTTTCTATTCATCCAGGTGCTTCTTGAAAGCTGCTGTTGTGTCTGCTTCCACCATCAGCTCTGGCAGCATGTTCCAGACACTCACCACCTGTCGTAAAAAACTTGCCCCACACGTCTCTTTTAAACCTTCCCCCTCGCATCTTAAACCTGTGTCCCCTCATAATTGACCCCTCCACCCTGGGGAACAAGCCTCGTACTTTCCACTCTATCCATGCCATTCAAAGTCTTTTAAACTTCTGTTAGGTCACCCATCGACCTGCTGCGTTCCAATGAAAACAAACCCATTCTTTTCTTCCTTTCTTCATAGCTAAAATCCCTGATATCAGATCATATCCTGGTGAACCTGTTTCTTCACAGATGCTGCCAGACCTGCTCAGCTTTTCCAGCAATTTGTTTTTGTTCCTGATTTACAGCAGCTGCAGTTCTTTCGTGTTTTTTTTTTTGTCCCGGTTAACCAATTCTGTACCTTCTCCAAAGCATCCACATCCTTATGGTAGTGTGGTGACCAGAACTGTACGCGATATTCCAAGTGTGGCCTAAGTAAAGTTCTACAACGCTGCAGCATAACTTGCCTATCGTTAATACTCATTGCCCTTTCTGATTTAAGGCCAGCATGCCATAAGCCTTTTTTACTACCTTATCTACCCGCGCTGCTACCTTCAGTGATCTGTGGACCTGCACACCCAGATTCCTCTGCATATCAATGTTACAAAATCACGAATGTATATTGTAAATAATTGTGGCCCGAGCACTAGTCCCTGTGGCACACCACTAGTTATAGTTACCATCCTGAAAGTGCCACCCCCCCCCGCCAAACCCCTTTGTCTTTTATTAGTTA